TGTGGTGATAAGTGGTCTGGTGATACAGAGTACCAGAATAGCCTCCTATTATGAGCGTTCATAGAGTGCCTTGTGAATGTTCCCTGAATTTTGCAGACTCCTGTAGGTGGGGCAATATCACCATAGAACAGCTAGTCAATCAAGTGGCTCACTGAGTAAAACAAGAATCTCTAGATTCAAAGAGGGAACACTACCCAATACATTACATTTACATTTTAGTCATTTAGCAGACGCTTTGTTGGCATGCATGTCTAAGTTCTCGATTGGCAATGAGTTCGAGTTTTTCATTGTTTATTGCAGTTGAGTAAAAACAGATTATTTGAAGTAGGCTAGTACCTATACCATCTACACTATTGGTCATAAAGAAATCGAAATAACAGAAAGGGCAACTTTGTTGTGTGACAATTTGTTGTGTTAATTTCAGATCTAGGGCCTACGCCAACTTCTAGTGATGGGAATTTTTCAAGATGGGATTTGAGAGCGGTGTAAATGGGGAATGGTCATGCTGTTTTTTGGGGCTCCATTTCCATGGGATATTTTAGATGTTAATAGCCCTGAAGTGGTCTCGGTTTCTTATTTAATTTCTCTCGCCTTTTTAAAATGTGAATCGCCCGCAGACAGCGCCGCGAGGCTCTAAACCGCGCAGCAACTCTCTCATCATTTCCAGCAGAATGGAAATGCAAATTGTGCACGCGGCCAATGACAGAACTCACCACTGCACATAATTAACAAGACCACTCTCGCTAAAGTTGGTGACGAAAATGTGACCTCGCTGTATCACTGTAAAATGCTACATATAATATTAATAATAATAATAATAATAATAATAATAATAGTACATTTTACACTCAAATAGTCTCAATATATTTCTCAGAGTTTAGATTCAATCAAACTGGCAGTGCACATTTTAGGCAGTTTTATAAAGCCCTTTTTTTCGCGTGACAAAATATTTTGGGTGTTGTGTTGAAATAGACTCCCCTTATAGATGCCTCCATTTTCTGTACTGAACAGGTGTGTACGGACAATAATTTGTAGGCCTATTCAAAGAAAGACAAACTATTACAATTAATGTAATCGAATCCATTCTCCTATGCATCAAACTCTGCTCATTCTGTTGGCGTGAAAAATGAATATTCGATTAATTGCATCACCGAGGACAACAGCTGCCCCCAATCGACACGTGATCTCCACTGTAACCAACGAGGGGCGCTGTCTATTAACTCTGTCTTATGTTGCATCTCCCAGTCTCCACATGTGACTTCCGATATGTTCATCTAATTTCTCTCTAAAATGCTGAAAATGTTGTTAGGTTAAACTAATAAAAAAATGTGGGGAAACAACTCAGAATTTGGTTTCCAAATGTCTGAAATGTGAGCCTAAATGTAGGCCATATGCGTTTTTCGTTATGCCATTCAATGCATATTTTTTTATGAATTATTATTTAATTGTCTTTCATAGTATATTACTTAGGCCCTATGTATTTATTAGGCTATCTGCCTATGTTAGGCCTACTCCTTTATGTCATATCAGATTGACTTTTAAACAGATGGTCTACATGAAGTCTACAATGTAAGGCAAATAATTACGCTACAAGTGACATGTCTATAAAGATTTTGATTCTTATATGTATTTAACCAATAAAGCAATGAAGGACGGGCCGATGTAAATGTGAACTCTTTGCAAATTTGAAACGAATTTTCTATTTCAACTTGATAAACATAAAAATATTCAGTAAAATAAATGAGCAAGGTTTTATCGGTTAGACTATATTTATCTTTCTAAACTAATTCATAGGTGGGATGTTTATTGGGACTATATTTGATTTGATTAGGCTGTTTGATCACAAAATAATGCATGGCTTTTGTAAATGTGTATTACACGCATTTTTTTAATAATAGAAATGCTGAACATTCAATCAATCAAGGTAAAACATGATGGCTAATCAATGTGATTATAATAGTTGTCCTAAAGTCCATAGGTTTCAGGACAGCTGGGCAGTGGCCGTCTGACTTTGCCTTGACATCTGGGAAGCCCGCTGGCCTGTGGCACGTGCATCGGCTGATGTCGCCATTTACATGTAAATTTACCAAGATCATGAGGGCCTCCTTCCGTAAATTCGTACAAAAAAAGAAGACGTCACCCTTAATACGGTCTTGGAAGTCAATGGAACAAAAGAGCCACGCGCCACTGATCTGAAGAAATTCTGTTTCATCACCATGTTAGCTTTTGGGGATTCATATCTTGGTCATCAAATTTTTACAATGTGATAATTTCAATATGATCAATAAAATAGGCCATATTCTCAATTATGTATGATGAAGATGCTTGGAGGAATCTTGTCTTCAGGAATCTTGTCTTCACTTACCTTCAATGTGGTAGGCCTATATGCCTACCACATTGAAAAAAATGTGTGTAAAATACATTTACATATAAATATTGTTCGAATATGCAGAAAATTATTGTAGCCTACGTGACAAGTTGATTTAGACAAATTTATTTATATAAATAATAGAGAAAAAATTAATATCAGATTCTTCATCCATAAACTTTACACAGTGTTATAAAATGGGAGATCAACAAAGGACATTATTTTTGTTTGGAAGGTGTGATTGTAATATTTTCCTAATGATGGGGAGCGCATTTTTCACGATGTAAGCCCACCGTGCAGATGATCCCGGAGAATGAGCCGAGACGGATTTAGGCTCCTCGCCTGTGTGTGGAGCAGCTGACTGCCCCTCGCCACGTCCAGATGGCTTTTGAACACAGATTTGCATTCATTTTCCTTTAATGTCTTCTGAAATAGCGGGGCAGCTGCATTTGTTGTCAAATACGGTTTAAAGCCCTCTTTCAGGACATCATCGTTACCTACGTGACGGGTGTGGAGATCCATTTTCCCTCTCCAGTCAACAATATCAGATCTAAGAGGATTTGTCTCAAAGTCTCCTAATTTGATAATCAGATTTAAATCGCATTGGTGCGTGTAATTAGGGGTTAAGTTCTAATAAACGACTTGAAGCCATGTTAAAAAAACACACAGTATGGCTAGGCCAAAGTTCTGTAAAGAAAGATAGGTTGACAATCTCAAATGAACAGACACATTTGCCCAGTTCTGCTCCTCAGCCTGTTTTATATTTGTGTTCATGGAAGTGCCAAGAATCACAGCACAAAACGTGGTAATGGGGCATTTACCTTCATGCCTTCTAAATATATGTTGTTTTGACGCACATATAAGGATATATCTTATTATGCAGTGGCAATAACGCAATAGATCTTGAAAAGAGGTGAAAGCAACAGATTATTATTCATTTATCTTTGTCAGCAGCTATTAACCCTCAGCACCAGATAGATAGATTGCTGAGGATATAGGCTACATCTCTTCTTATCTCCTCCCCCATTCCCTCCTTCACCTATTTGCCCTCAATAATGTGAAGGGTTTTCTGAATCCAAGGCTCGGACATTCTCTCCCCCATTAATCAAAACATTACACTACTTATGACGTCTACTGTCTTGAGATGAAAATAACGATACTTTATTGTCCGAGTATGTTTTATACAAGGCAATCCGGATCTTAATCACATTAGACTTCAGGGAATAGAAATGGAATGAAATTGCACTCATGATGTTTTCCTGATTAATATAATTTGGAACACACCTAAATGAATGGTGGTCAATTTCCAAACTCACTATCCACTCTCACTATTCTTTATTTTTTTATTTTATTTTTTTAAACAACGTTTTCTCTGCATGGGAGGGAAGGACATCCCGAGGCTTTGTTAATATTTTAATATCTGCATAGCGGTGAATTAATTAAAACACACTCAGTTTACCGACTAGGCCTTATTCCTATCGAGGTTCTTAGTCGATGTCGCTTTGATCAAATAATATAGGCTACATGTGAGATTAAACAAAGATACGACAATAATTTCAACATATTATTTTCTAAAACATGATTTATGTAGGCCTAACATATGCCTATTAAATGTTTTTGTTAGCATAGCCCATATTAGTGAATTCACTGCCGGCCATATCAATCTTATGTGTCATAATACTCCCAATTAAATAACCTAATAAAAATATGAAAATATCTCATTACAAATCTTCTCAAAAATATAGTGTAGGCCTACCATAAGCAAGCGTTCACAATAGACAAATGACCATAACAGGAATAGGTTTTTAATATAGTGAATGGATGTTGTGTGATGGTCACACCTCGTTGAATTCATATCATTGAAGAAAAAAAATCAACTCACCACATTGCAAGAGAAAAGTAGAGCGAGTGTTCTCAGGTTGCTTCTATAGGCTAATACTCGTATAGTCGAGCGCCACTGCTTGACAGGAATCGTCAGAGCTCCATATATGGTAAAAGCTACGCCCCATGAGCGTCATATTCTGACTGAGCTCTCCCGTGGGTTTAGAGTTTTGGCTCCCGGGAAAGATTTCAGTCCTCGGGGAAAGAGGGCTTAGTTTTGCATGTTCCCTTCCATCCTGCACGACGCGAAAGGCCCCTTATCCACCTCTCCTGTGTACCGGGAACACCTCCACGGTGACCAGCTTCTGCGTGTGCTTGTCTTTTGGAGAAGCAGCACCTTTCAATTTCAGGAGTGGTTTATTCAAGTGTCCTGAAGGTTTTGGATGCGGTGCTTCAGGGATGTCGATACTTTGAGAGCATCATCCACACACAAACAACAACTATCGAATTGTTCTGTGAATAAGCACAACAAAAAGAAGGAACAATAGCCACAAAAAAAGACTAGTCTGTCGAACAAGTCACTTTTCCAGTCTGTGGATACCACACCGACTAAGTAGAGTACTTTGAGAATTGTTCACATCGCTGCAACCCAGGACGGATTGAAAAGGGAGGCGAGACCTGTGGACCTGGTTTTCCCCTTGCAAGGCTCATACGGCATTTACGACTTATCCCTTAAACCCTCAAGGATAACACGTTTGGACGTTTATTTACCGAATTCCACAGGAGGCTCTTTGCACGTAAATTGTTCTAAATGTTTGGGATTCAGGAAACTATATCGCGGGGTGGGACAACGATGAAGGAGGAACCGCTGGGTGGGCTGAATTCAGTCCGCTCATGGATGCACACAGCTGGGGTGGTGGATGCGAACACAGCCGCCCAAAGGTACGCATGCCAAATCATCTGATTTTCTCACGCATTTCTCATATCGACCCTCAATCCCCTCAATACTCTGTATCAATTACGGTCTCCCAATGCCCCCCTTCGGCTCTCCCCAGTTTCATTACATCAGATTACCCTTATTGTGACAAATCAAGAAATCTCTCGTACTCAAACGTGCTTCCACATCTCGACTGTTTTCATCAGCTCCATCATCTGTCCCCCGTGTCTGATACTTAACCGAGATGGTCTCTTGTTTTCTCCCCGCAGTGGTGTTGGCTTGGCACGGGCACATTATGAAAAGCAGCCACCTTCCAACCTCAGAAAATCCAATTTTTTCCATTTCGTCCTGGCACTGTATGACAGACAGGGTCAACCCGTGGAGATCGAAAGGACAGCTTATGTGGACTTTGTGGAGAAAGATAAAGTAAGCTCTTCATGAGAATATCGTTTATTGAATTTAATAATATTTGCTTTGAAATTAACTTTACTTAGAGATGGCTGTGGGTCAATAAAGCAGGTCACGTGCAATATCGATTTTTAACCCCATTCGTTGATGACAGGAGCGTGATTGTAAGTCTTATTTTTTACAAATTATACATTTCAAATGATGAAATATCTGCTAGATAGATAGATAGATAGATAGATAGATAGATAGATAGATAGATAGATAGATAGATAGATAGATAGATAGATAGATAGATAGATAGATAGATAGATAGATAGATAGATAGATAGATAGATGCTTTATTATCTGCTGACCATCATCTCAATGTTGATTATTTTCAGGAACCAAACAGTGAAAAAACTAACAATGGGATACACTACAAACTACAGTTGTTGTACAGCAATGGTGAGTGAAACAATTATTTTATAAATTCAATATTACCCAAAAGATAAAGGCTATAAATAATAATAGTAATAATAGTAATGATGATGATGATGATGATGTTGATGATAGTCATCATCATCGTCATCATCATCATCATCATCATTATTATCATTTAAATAATTGTTTACATGTCCAGGTAAAATGATGTATGATGCAGATTATAGATGTATAAATGTTCTCAGTTTTAAAAAAATATATACGTTATATGAATGATTTTGTATTTTATCATCAGCATTAATGTACATCTCATACAGCTCTAAACTTTTGCCTAAACTTGTCATCCTTTTTCCCCCAGGCGTCAGAACAGAACAGGATCTTTTCATACGGTTAATCGATTCCATGACGAAGCAGGTAAGCTACCTTTACTCTTATATTCATACAGCTTGCTTACACTAGAGACATTGCTTCTATACTTCATCTGCATTGTGAAAATCTCCACAACCTGTGCAATTCATGACACATGCATAATATAATTTATGAGATGGGTGTTCTTTATGCAATCATGTATTGACTGAAATTGCATTATATATTGACAGCGTGTTGGCCTATATCCTGTTTTTGCGGGACTCCTAAGTAAAATTAATCAAGCACTAAGTTACCATAAACTTAGCCTACAATTGTGTACCTATACAATATAAATTATGATTGATGGTTTGTAATGCTGGTACTTTCTGCCGATACTGATAGAATGCATTATTTAGCCCATTAATCTTTACATATAAGACATGATAGGCTATTGTAAAATAAAGTAGGCCTAGGCTATTTTATTGATATGGAGTTACAAGTAGTCGTGTTCTCTTGTTGAGTCCCTTATTCTAATCTGTGACTTTTAGGCATGTTGCTAGGCTTGACCCATGACCCATATTAAACATATCTAATGTTTGGGTTTCTGAAAAGGCTCACATAGCTGAAACACTTTCACTCGTAGAGGAATTGTCGAAATTAAACCCCAAATCTCATCACATTATGGTAACTAGGGAAAAAAGAAAGTGGCCTTATTTTAGACTTTTCCACCATGGTGGTTGTTATTACTACTAATTTACGGAGGGTTACAGCAGATCCATCTAAATAGAGCCGTTAAAGCTTCCACCACTCCGAGGGAAAATTCCTCTGCGAATGATCCGAGTCAATGACGCAGAACAAGCAGTTTATGGATTTCTCTGTTTCTGCAGCTGCAAATATCGACATAAATCAAACCAATATATATAATCGCCCGGTGCTCACCAAACAAAAACAAAGCCGTCAAAAAGTCTAGTGGGGTTCCATCCCAGTAAGAATAGGACGTCAACATTTCGGAGTGTAATTGTGTATTTTTTTCTCCTTATCATAGGCCACACTTCTCATTCAAAATGTCTTCAATTGAATATAGAAGCGCTATAGGCCTACCGAAAACAAGGCAAGTTACAGTGCCGTATAACATGCGTCTTTGCGCTAGGTAGGCTAGTTCAATAAAGGGGAGCAAAGGGACTCTTCAGAATAGAGGGAGGGAGAGCGGCACAACTGATAGCTGCACACCATCTGTTTCAGCCAATGCTCAAAAATTACTCAACCGCACTGCCAGACACCGCTTTTTATCCACGGAAAGATCATTGTTAGCAGCTCAAAAATAAACAACAGATTGCCCATTAACACTTTTCCCCAAATATCTGCAGATTATAACCATATTGATGACACTTAATTGGATCGTCCCTCTTGAAAAACTCCCCCTAAAAAGTATTCTTAATATAATGTTATAACAAAATATATATACGTTATTATATTATACATATTATACATATTATACATATACATATTGTTATTATTTTATTACTATTATTATTATCACCATCATCATCTGTTATTATCATTGGACCAACATTGTAACATGTTATCAATTTCGTATGTGTAGTTCTACAACATTACACTTAATGAAAATATATCACAGTGTTATTTTTGCAGTAGTAACGACAATATTGATTTTTCACCAATAACATCAGTAGTTTAGTTGTTTTTTGGAGGCATTTGTTTTTTATTATTCGGTTTTAAATGCCGTTTATATTTAGGCTACTGTAAAGATGATTATATACAGTTTCTCATTATATGTATTTAATGTAGGCTACATATTTGTGTCTTTATTTTTTCCAAAGGCGATTATATATGAGGGTCAAGACAAAAACCCTGAAATGTGCAGAGTTCTTCTTACGCACGAAATTATGTGCAGGTAAGTTTTTTTTCTCTCCACAAACTCATTGTTGTTGAAGAAGTATACAGTACATTTCTATATTTTCTCCCCACACTTGTTTATGATATTGGTATATGACACGAAGGCCTACAAGTAGTCGAATACAAACAGACTGGTACCCAGGGTAGTTGTAGCCTACAGGGTTTCTTGGTGAATATATTAATATTAGTCTGTTGCCAGTGAGTCTGCGCCTCAAAACATGGAGTTGGTTGGTTGATCCCACCTGACATTAGTGATCAGCGAGCTTTTTAGCATAATTTAACCAGGTAAATCTCAAGCTCTCATGTTCCGCTGTTATTCAACGGTGTCGTTGATACTAAAAGGAAAAACCTCTTATGTTGTTTATTGTTGAGCTCAGTGTGAGATTTGTGAGAATTGAATTCAGATACTGTCGGTTAACCTTTCTTTTGTTGCACTGGCGCATTGTTCAAGTTGTTTGAGAGCAAGTGCACCAACCTAGAACTGAGAATGATTAGCCTTTTTTAATAGGTCTACATAAACTCATCACTCATACAACATTTTATACATGCATCCATCACTTATTTGTGATTAGATATCATGAAGAGGATATATCTTGATGTGCAAGACTAGCCTATACTCTATTTGAACTTTATAAATCAAAACTGTGCAGTTTTATTAGTTAGGCTGTATCAATATGTTGAAAATGAAGTGTAAGTGAATTAACAAAGCCTTATTTTTTTTGCCATACTAAGATTATTTATTGACATATCGTAAATAAGCACAAAAATTGCTCAGTCTGGAATGATCTAGTCTCCCTAAATATCGCCCAACCCTAACATTGAATATGGTGCGCTCTAGAGGTAATTTTACTGTCAGTGTCAAAGAGAAATTGCATTCTGTAGTTGCATAGGAAGACTAACCTACTCACTGAGTGAAAGCTATCATCATTCAAGAAGGCATGAGGTTATGAGTAGCCTAGGCCTACTCCATGAGAGTATTCTTCTGTTCTTTTTTGCTCTGGTAAAGCATTAAGTATATTGTTGCACTAATATGCAGTATTATTCTAAAATCCTCTCAACCTATCTCTTGTCTGCATGTTGTGAAAAATGCTTTGTCTTTCTTTCCTTGACATATGGCGTCAAATGTCAGTTAGACCTGCAGCCATTATACAAGTATACATTTTCATTTCAAATGGGAAGCAGCCGTATATTTGTGTTTAATTTCAGTTTGAATTAAATCTCCAATCAAAGAACTGAAGGTATAGTGTAGGTTTAGAGAAAAGATGGTGGAAACATGTGGTAGAGGATAGATTAGTGCTTTTGAGGCCGTAATTGATAAATGCCCCACAGAAATATTGGTTTGAGGGTGGCCTCTTGCATCTCCCCCAGAAATAGCAGCTTGGCAATTAGAGGTAAACAAAAGCTGAAACTGTGAAAAGTGACTCCCCTGCCTCCTGGCCCAATCCCCCCTCCCCTCCCTTCTACTCCCCTCCTCTCAAGCACTAAGGCACACACTGTACCACAACATGTTGTTATTCCATTTTAATTATCCATCAGCATCCATGATAGGATAGATTTAGTGTATGTTATTTCTCTATTCCTTTTTGTGTCCAAATTTAACACAATGACGTTTTGCCTTAGAAAGCGATATACATTTTTAAGGGTCTAATGTTCACACTAAACAGTAACAGCCACTGTTGTGATCTCAAACGCTCTTTCTTCCCCTAGCCGGTGTTGTGACAAGAAGAGCTGTGGCAACAGGAACGAGACTCCATCAGACCCTGTGATCATCGACAGGTAGGCTCTGCTCCATGTCTCCTCCATGCTGCTGTGATTGTGACCTGTGTTAGATTCAGCCTTATGCTCTGTTGGGAAATGAATGAGTTATAACTCTGCAGTGTTGGGGTGCCCAGGTGGGTTGACTTCAACCTTCTGGTCCACTCTGTGGGAACTGTGGCTGATTGCTCTGTAAGCAGGTGAGCAGGGTCTTTCCAGGTACCTGTGCTCAGAGGGGCAGTCACCACCTGGAGAGGAGCGTTCAATCACAGGTGCATCGGGCGGGGTATTCGTCTAATTAGCTAAGGGGTTTATCATGATTTTTGTCTCTCATTCTCTCTTTGTCTATCGAAGTAGTCGTTATCCAGTTTTTACTATTCTCTAAGGTTAGGCAATGCTACAATTTTGAGTAAAGATGGTTAGGGCTCTGTTGTGATAAGAGTTTGTGTGAGTGATTTTGCTCTGAACCTTTAGGTTAAAGTATGTCATATAGATTACAGGATTTGGATATTCAGAGAACATAAACTGCATATTGGCTATTACATTCCTTCCACACAGTATAACTGTTATTCAGACTACTCTATCTCACGGCTGAAAAATGAATGTGCGTGCCCACGTGTGTGTAGGAGGGAATATCTTCAGCATTGAGCCCATCTAACTCTCACCATGGAGTGGGGAGAGACAGCAATGCTAATGTTTGACTAGCTGGAATCACTGTTTACTTAGTGGAGAATGCCTGGTATCTGACAGAGGGGACAACTCTCTTATTAGTAATCAAATAGGGCTGAACAGTTGTTGCCGCCACTCCAGCAGCTTCTCATGCATCAGGAAGTAGGGTCTGCCCTGGATGCCTGCCTGGCTGGATTACCACAGCTATTGCTTCTCTAGATGCCACTCTCTCTCTACTAGGAGAGCTGATGGTCCTCTATTATGTAGGACTGGGTGTAACATTATGTTATGGGCATTATGCATGGGATTTCATTTGAGCAGCCCAAGGCAACACTTTATAATTCAAATAAATATATAAAGGGCTCTCATCATGCCTTTCATGAAGTTGATTATCTGATTTATTAGACTAGTGTATTTTTTGGATACAGTGTTCACACAGAAACATAAAGTATGAGAGATAAACATCTCACTTATTTCTGCTGCTTTTAAGTTTGATTTGTACTGACTCGCTGCCTTCATTTAGTTGAGTTTCACACTCTATTGTTCCTCAATCTGTGGGACAAAACATGGAACATAAGTACAATAGCCAAAATGAATGCAAAATGGAAAAAAAGAGAAGCAGATGGATATTGTAAGCTCAACCAGCTCTGAAAAAAGGCTCCGATTTTTATTGTGACTGGAGTGAATGGGAGTAGAGTATCCTTTTCCTCGCACAATGAGCAGGTCTGTTGAATCACAAAAGCATATGTTCCTAATTAGGCCCTCTCATTGTCTCCATGTCGTAACTATGAGCAGATCAGTTCACCCTCCCAGACCCACACTACTTCCCATTGACTTCCCACTGACTAGAGGGGGTTGCAGAAAGGCTAGTTGTAGAGTTTCGGGGTTAACACACAAAATCACTGACGTGTACTGTGCTGCATGCACGTCACCCAGTTTACCATCCTGATATAGTAATTTTCAGTGAACATATGGGTGAGAGTTTATAAAGCCTCAATGTGTTACAGACTCTCTTGTAACATCTGTCTGTTTCTCATGCAAATTGTGAGTGGCACCTGTGCTGCGGTTGCTTCTGGCTAAAAGTGATTATTTTAAATTGAAGAGAGCTGAGAGTTGAGTGTGTGAAAAACAGACTGATTGTTGAATCAGTCATGTCTTAGGTAGCTGCCTACATTACAGTATAAAACATCTTCAGCTCTGCCACATTTCCTAGAGAAACAGTAGCATAGCCCAACCTTTAAGAAACAGATTTGGAGTGAATCATTGATGGCATTTCCTCGCTGTAACATTTTCCCAGATGGTACGAGGGGAAAGCATACACAGCTAGCTGGCATCTAGCAAGACATTAACTGGCGTTCCCATGGATCTGAAATATATCAGACTGAATTTGGGAAACCTATCATTCCAAATGTGTCCTATTTTCCTGTGGTCAAGCCAGACATCTGTTTACCCTATTTTCTCTCTGAGTTTGATGCAGATTTTAGTAATTTTTTTGTTAAGGGAAATAATTCTTTAAAAAAAGTTTGTTAGATACAGTATAAGCCTAACAGCTGTCACAGAGTTTCAGTGCTGGAGGAGCTTTAAATATTTCACAAGTGACTTTTGATGTCATTACATTATTCATATTTGTTTTCTGGGGAAAGAAAGGGACTATTTTATGTGTGTGTGTTTGTGTGTGTGTGTCTGCATGTGTGTGAGCTTGTGTGTGTGAAGGGAAACTCTGACCCTATCTTCTGCGCTGACTGTAAAATAAAGTCTATTACAGATATTAATTTGAGCCAGTTTGCTACAGCAGGAAAATAATCATGCAGCAACAGGAAATGTGAATTATTTTGTGGATTATAATCAATGGATATTTTTGTAGGGGTTGATACATTTTTCGTAAGGGAAATCAAGTTTGACATTTCAAAGTAGAAATTACAAACTTCAGAAGCCTTTTTAAACCTAAAATACACTACACATTTTACATTTCCTGCATCAGGGTGATCAAATTAAGATCCTACATCTGTATGTTCTGTCAGTCTTTACATACACACAAAAAAATGAGGGTTCCTCAAGGGTTTTTTGGGAAGGTGATGGTTCTATGTGCAATCATACTGACCTAAAGAACCCATTGAGCCCTTCAATCTTTCTTTGCAGTCCATAATGGTTCTATGAAGAATCATTAAAAAGGTTTCTGTATAGCCCCCAAAAGGGTTGTAACCACAAACATAAACCTTTTTTGAATTTTTCTTTATAGAACCTTAGGAAAGGGTTCTTTATAGCACCATATAGGTTTCATTTAGAACATTATGAGCATGGTTCTTTATAGAACCTTAAAAAAAAGGTTCCATATAGCGCCAAAAAGGGTTACGCTATGGTTATAAGCCTTATTTGACACTATATAGAACCATTTGTTTTTAGTGTGTATTTTTTTGCTCTTCAAATCAGGAATGTTGGAAACTATGTTGGCTCCTGCAGAAACAAAAAGATGCTGATTGAATTTGGTCGGTAATTGTATCACTATTGCTATGACTGCAGTACTTCTCAGATGGTTTTAATCGTATCTTCCCATTATGAAGTCAGTGGTGGAAGGGATGTCACATCTTTAAGCTAGTGGCACCTTAAAGTGAGTGGGGGCATGGGTATATACAGGCAGTAATTTGAGTTTCGAGAGTTATAGTGATGAGGTGCCCAATATCTGATTAGGTGGTTTCCCCATTTACAGTATGTGTAGAGCAGTGCACGCCAAACATAACTCAATTTGTGATTACTCTCCTGCCCTGGTATCTATCTTCACTCTCCTGAATATTGATTTAGTCTTCTCCTGTATGAAAGTTTAGAAACATGGTCCATGCTTACACGTTAATTTTGTAATATGAAATAAGAACATCCTTTTGGGAAAAAAAAGAGAAAAATACTAATTCTGGCTGCCAAAGTTCAAAGGTTGCTTGTATCACAGAGGAGATGCAGCAGATTAGGTGAGGATAGCAGAGGACGGAATGTGTTTTCATAGCTCACGCTGCCCATACATGAATTGTGAATCTAATGTGTGTTCACATGGCTTAACATCCATGCCAATGTACACTCCCATTCAGAAAGGAGGACCGCGGACCAGACCAAAACATGTCAGCTCCGCTTATTACAGCTTCAACCGCGTTCCCTTTCACTTCCTGTCACAAAGGTCAAAGAGCGTTGACCTCTGAAGGCCGCCCAGCAACTGAATAATTCATAACATTGACTTGTTTTTTTTCTTTTGATCTTTTTTGTCAGTCATCAGCACACATGGCTGTGCTGTGGGAGGGTTTTTATTAATTTAGCTAATTTATAAAGGCCTCTCCGCACCTGTTCGTGTGTTAATGCAATTAAGTTTCTGGCCTAATGCAAATTTTGCTTAGCTTTTTGTTATGTCGCTCATTAGCGCGCTGTATTTTCTAAATGACTGTGCGTTATCGTTCATTTGCGGAACACCTATGAGGTCATATCCCAGAGTGCAGTGGCTTGTTGTCTGAGATGTTGGTCAGCAACAAAATAACTTTGTGTCTAACCATCTCACATATGCTTTCTCTTCCCTCTACGCAACAAATACAAACATTGGTGTGGTAGTGTGTTCCCATCTGGTTTTTGCAAAAGTGTGATTAACTCCCAAGCTGAACAAATGCCAGTATTTATAAGGTCAGCTTTTTGCATTGGAAATGCTATGTAAATGAGAATCAGCGAAAGGGGACATTAAGCAAAATTGAATTCATTGACTCCTTTTATGGCATTTACATTTTTGGCTAAGCCCCGGACTGTCAAAAAGGATTTTAGAGACCATTTTAATTACACATGGAAAAAAGAGGTGTGTTATCATAGGCAGTGTTTTGATAACCTGTGAAGAGAGGTCTGTTTATTAACTTCCTACTGTAAATTACATGTTTTCACAAGGCTAATTAAAATTGCACTGTATATGTCGTGTTAATTCACCATCCATCCACAAGTGAGAATGATGCAATGCAGAGGTCAGAGCAATGCACAGGTTGTGCTGTTGAGTTGAAAGCTGGAGGTCTAGCTCATGGATTCTTGCATCAAACAGTAGAGAAATTGTATTTGGCTCATGGATGGTGAGCATACAGTTTTGAAGTACTATAGTGCAGTCGATTATAGTTGCTGCCTTTGGGGAAAAACACACACACACACACACACACACACACACACACACACACACACACACGCGCGCGCGCGCGCACACGCACACACGCACACCATGAATACATGCAACCACACATACACATTGCACGTACACACGCATCCACTTTTCATGTTCAAGCCTCAATAATATTATTTCCATCTCCGCGTTTTATTTACGGCTGTTTTCAATGTAATTCATAT